GTAGAAGTGACAGAGTGAAGATCTGAGGAAAGGGGCTCGGTGCCAAGGGGCTCTTGTGGAGGAGGGGAAGTGGAGGCCTGGGAGCCCCTGTGTTACATCCCAAAGTAACACACTGATGGCTGTGCCTCCCCGCTGCTGGTTCCATCTGGTAAGCCCCACTGCCCACGGACAAGACACATGTGAGGGTGTGGGGGATGGCAGCAGCAGAAGTCAGCAGAAGACTTTGGGGCAAGCTGCATGGCTGCAGGAGTGCAGTACAGTGGGAAGGCTGTGGCCCATGTTTGAACACGGACTGTGTCATCTACCCAGGAGAGCAAGAATGGGGACCCCAAACTCGCTGGTGCCTCTGAGACCCCAGGCCCTAGGAGGTGGCCATGAACAACCAGAGGGAAGGAGGTGCACTGGGGTCACCTGCCCCAGGCTGGCGAGAAAGCAGCAAGAAGGAAGGGCTTAGGCCTAAGGCCCCCTAAGGATGTTCTTGGAGGAACCAGGTGTACCCACCATCCAGAGGATGCCTCCCCTGCCCTCCTGTCCTCGGATCCTTTCCAAGCCCCTGCAAGGCCACTGGGGTTTCCTGTCCTAGACTCAAGGCTGGTCAAGCAGCTCCCCAACCACCTGCCAGATTCTCTTTGAGAAAGTGTCTCCATCTCCTTATGTGGGCTCAGGATTTCACTGCAGATGACCTGGTGAGTCTCTTGTGGATATGGTTCCAAAGGTCAGCCGTGTCTCCTGGGCAGAGGGCTGCACATGCAGCCATGACCTGACTGAGTCTAAATGCAAAGGCAAACAGAACATAACTGAGTTGCTCCTGGCGTCAGTGGATGGCACACTTGTTCATAACTTTCTCCAGGACGTCCTGTGGCTCATTTCTGTCTCCTGCCTGCTCCCTACTTTGGGGGAGCCCCAACTGTATATTACCTGTGGGGTGAAGGAAGGGCCCTCTGGAGGTCTCCCCCAGCCTGGCCTTCGCAGCCCCATCTATCTCCCCGCCTTGGGTGATCTGGCCTCGCCGAGGTACCCACTCCGTAGGGCTGGTGGTGGCACCTGTCTGTTGGGACCGGACGGTAAGCAGTCAGGTATTCGCGTCCATTGACATCCTGGGGGCTGGCTCTTCCACCCCCAGCACTAATCTAATCAGGAAATAGCAAGTCCACATTTCCCAGGGGTTATAAATAGCCACAGCAGCTCAGGCAGCATCATTTCTCTGGAAAATGTGCCATGTCCCTCTCTACTCCTCACCCTCCCTTTTCTGTATTTAAATGACGTCCTAAAAATAGATTTGGTTTCTGGAGACTGCTGGCCTGCTGGGAGGGAGACAGAACTTCATTGTCGGGGCACCAAGGACTGGGCAGGCAGGCCCCAGGGCCGCACCTGCAAAGGGCACCCAGGATATGGTGGTGGTGGGGACTCACAGTAAAACACAGACTGCCGCCTTACTCAGCCCTGGCCTCGGACCCGTGAAGTGTGTGAAGCAACAGCAGAGGATGCCAGCAGGCTGCAAAGGGACAGTGTCTCGGTGTACCAGGAAGGCAGAGGAGAACCGAAGGCCTGAGTTCTCCAAAGAAAGCTTCCCAGAAGAAGCAGGGCAAGAACTGCGCCTTTGCATCAGAAGTTGCTTTTTCTGCATCTCCCATCCCCCCAGGAAAATGTAAGGTTGCTGCTCTGCAGCTAGGACAGAAGCAATAGGGAGGGGAAAATGGCAGAGTTGTACTGGAGGCAGCCCCAGATCAGGCACCAGGAGGCCTGATGTCTCCTTTCTAAATAAATAACAGAAAGAGCAGATACCTTGCTGCTGAGAGACGCAGGCACCAGGCAAGGTGCTTTACACCTTACCTTGCAGGGCAGGTGAGTCAGGGACACTTGATCTTGTACCCCAGCTCTCACTTCCTATGTGACATTGGGCAAATTCCTTATTCCCCTTAAGCCTCAGTGTTCTCATCTGTAAAACGGGAGCATAAAAAGGCTTAAACCTCACAGCTTTGTTAGGATGATTAATTGAGATTCTATATGTGAAGGGTTTGTCATTGTGCCAGACTCCTAGGAAATGCTCAGAATACATTAGTTCTATGATTATTTTCCAGAACAATCCTTTGAGGTGGTATGGATGCCCCTGTGAGGAAGTTGAGGTTTGGGGGAGTTAAGTGACTTGCCCAAATTCACACAGTTGAGTGGAAGAGCAGACATTTGGACCTAGACAGGCCTGATTCTCAATCCCTGCCTTTCCCCACTTGTGCCCAGATGCCACTGCAGAACAGGGAGGGACCAATGACTTAGTCCATGGCAGCTGCCAGGAGGTGCCAGGTCATGGGAGGTTAGAGCATGGGAGGGGCATTAGGTGCAGGGGCACCTGAGGGGCAGCCTGTGCCACAGACCTGGTGAGGGTTTGGGACAAAAAATGTCTAGGAAAGGGAAGTTTCTGGGACCAGTAGGACGCTTGGCCCCAGGGCTTCTGGAGTAGTGAGCCTGGGCCACAGCCAGTCTGATGTATCCCACATGCCTTCCTCTGTGTGTTTGAGGAGGTGCTCGGACAGCATCAGGGAGCATGGGGGCTGCTGAGTCCTGTCCACACTGCTCTCCCCCTGTTCTCTGCTCAATTCCACCCGTCCTCCATGCAAGGAACCTATTGCTGGAGGCAGGGCCTAGACCAAAGCTGGCCCACATGCAGACCCCAGAGCCACTGCCACCTGTGCACAGCTGGTGTGTGGACAATAGAAGGTGTGGAAGGGAGGTGGGCGCCTGGGTGGCTCAGTTGTTTAAGAATCTGCCCTTGGCTCCGTCATGACCCCAGAGTCCTGGGATCAAGCCCACATCAGGTTCTCTGCTCAGCAGCTCCCTCTCCCTCTGCTTCTCCCCACTGCTTGTGCTCTCTTTATCTCTGTCTCTCTCTCTCAAGTAAATAAATAAAATCTTAAATTTAAAAAAAAAGAAGAAGAAGGTGCAGAGTCCCCTCAAGCTGTAGGAAGCTCCAGAACCCAGCCCACCCTGGGCCCACCCAATTGTTTAGCTCTGTGGAAAACTAGAACAGTGGTGGCCACACTGTGGTGCACATGCTCCTGGGGGTGCACAGACTTTGCAGGCGGTATGTGGGCAGGGAAAGTTTTCAGAGAACCCATCTGTAGGCTCTCAGCTCCCACAGGTGCAACTGCCAGAAAGCAATCTGCCTGAGAAGGGCTTTTGGTCTCCAGCTGCCCTCCTCTGCCGGGACCCCAGGGCTCGCTGTGGGGCCCAGCCCAGGGTGCCAAGGCCTCCTGGGTGGCCAACAGTGGGGCCTCTAGAAACATAGGGGTACATGTGGAGAAATAGAAGATGCTGATGGCTGCATGATGAATGCTTTCACAAGTCCGGTGTTTTCTAGTTCTTTGCTCTCCACAAAACTATTGGAAATTGTCCGCTGAGAGGTCATTTAAAATAAAGTTTGCTAATTAGGTATATAGGTAATTTAAGGCAGCTGAGGAGGAAAAAGTTAACACTGCAATAACAAAACTATTTTCAGCCCCGTCTAGTTACTTATATGAACAAGATGTTTCACCCTTTATGTGTTTAAAAACAAAACCCAGGGCACCCAGCTCGCTCAGTCTCGGAGCCTGGGACTCTGGATCTCAGGGTCATGAGTTCGAGCCCCACATCGGGTGTGGAGATTACTAAAAAAATAATAAGTCAACTTAGAACACACATACATACACACACGCATATTGAGGCTGCACCCAGTTCCACCCTAGCAAAATACACACACAAACTAAAACAAAAAAAGTGTTCTACCCACCTCATGAAGAGACACAAGCCCACCAAGATGGTACTTGGCTGCTGAATATTCATTAGAACTTATTTGTAACATGCTGATTAGTGTTTTTGTTGTGCTCTGCCGGTCACTGTAATAACTAATCTAGAACGTGTCTTGATTATTTGGAGCCTTGTGGTCTTAGGAAGCATTTCATTGCCACTTGTACAGATATTTTTGGTGAAGCAAAATATGATAGGGTGATGAATAAAAGACCGTAAGACAGAAAAGTACAAACTAGGACAAAACTCTTTGGGAGGGCAAAGAAACAATGCAGGATATCTGCAAGGGGAAAGGAGAGCTTATATTTTCCTCATGGATGATGGTGGGTATCAGATCGCTGTGGTAATTGGATCCCACTGAATACACTGAAGACAGTGATGTAACAGTTTTATTTTAAGATGTAAATATTTACGTTATCCTGGAAGTCCTACTCTTTGCAACTGTTTAAACTTGCTTTGGAAATATTCAGATGGAGTTGCAAATGTGCTGGGGAGTGCATAATTTTTCCAAATCGTTGTGTGGGTGCGCAAGGAAAAACACTTTGAAGGCCACTGAGTCAGAGGAATGGAGTCCTGTCCCCCGTGAGGGATGCCTCGGATCCTCCCTTGCCATCCCCACTTCTTGGAGCTCCTGCCCAATCCGGGGGCCTCCCCTACAGAGTGTTTTTCTCCTTGGAGGTCAGCTGCTCACCCCCACTTGTCTCAGGGAGCCTTCGCAACAATCCACAAGGCAGCTTCTGCTACTGGCCATGGGGAGCAGATGAAGCAGAAGAGGCTGAGCCAGGGTCCCAAGGCCTCAGATCCAGGCAGCCTGGCTCCTGAGTTGGGGCCCCTGACCTCTGCCCACCCCCGTTCAGCACCTCCGTATGCACTGGCTGCAGCACCTCCTGTTTGTGAGCCTGTGTCTGCATCTGCAAAGTGGGTGATAGAACCCATCTCAGTGGGCAGTGGTCAGGAAGAAATGAGGCGTGATGGGCCAGCGTGCCTACTCGTGTGCCCCAGCCCGTTCACGGAGGAGGGGAGTCCTTTACTAGCCAGGACAGGAGGGGCTGGGTGCTGGAGCCACCCCGAAGGGCTGATTTTGAGAGAACCATAGCCCCCAATCCTGCCTTCCTGACCAGTTAGCCCACTGTGAGCCGCCGCCAGCCAGCAGAGAGCTTGCCCCCAAGCCGCCATCTCCATCCCTCACACTCACGTTCTCCTTCTTCCTTTCTCTGCAGTTGGATCCACAAACTGTAGAAACCAAGAACTGGCACACAGATGTGATTGAGATGAACGGGGTGAGTCCGGAGAGGCAGGAAATGTCTGCGCAGTGGGTGGGCCTCTGGCTGCTGTCCTCGGGGTGCTGTCGCACCCCGTCCCCTCTCCTGTGCCTGCACCCTTCCCACTTCCACCCTGGGTGGTGGAGATAGCCCTCGTCCACAGCCCTGGGGAGGGGACCTGGGCTTTGGAGGCGCTCTGCAGGCACTTATCCCTGGGGGGCCTTGTGCCTGCCTCCCCCCCACCAGATCAAAGTTGAATTCTCCATGAAATTCACCAGCCGAGATATGAGCCTGAAGAGGACTCCATCCAAAAAGCAGACTGGCGTCTTTGGCGTGAAGATCAGCGTGGTGACTAAGTAGGTGCCGCCCGCAGTGTCTGAGCGCTGGCATTGGTGCCCGGGGGCCCTGGCAGCCCCTGCCGCCCAGCCCCTCCGCCTGTCTGGCCCCTAATTGGTTGCCCTCCAGCTCAGTAGTGACGGATGGCCAGTTTGGAAGCCAAAGGTGGCCTGCTGGGGTAGGTCTCCGTCTTACATGTTGCTGTAGAAAGAAACAAACCCCAGGAGATTGCCTGTGAAAATCCCAGACCGTCAGCTTCTGGTAATAAACGAGAAGCTGTGACAACTGTAGTGTACGTTGAGGCTTGACACCAGCAGGCCGGAAGCCAGGAGTGGCTGCCCCTCAGGAAAGGGTCTGCATCCTTCTGCTCCCTGCCACCCCCTCCATGTCCCTGGTCTCCGGGACCTCAAGCATCAGCCTCAGTGGACCACGTGTAGGTCCCACATAAGCACCTGAAGTTGGGATCTGTTCTAGGGAACATTCTTGCCTCAGGAGTCTTTGGGCTGGTCTCCCAAACCTTCCTCCTGCCTTTGTCCCTTGCTGTGGTACAGCAGGCCTGCCCAGGGCTGGTTGGGGGGGGGGGGTTCTTAGCCCCTTCCGAGGCCCCAACCCTGGAGGAAGCAGGAGCCATTCAGGGATGCAGAGAGGGAGCTGTGAGGTCTCCATGGGGGGGAGGGGACACCCTCCACCACCCCTCACAGCCCCTCCCAACAGGCGGGAGCGCTCCAAGGTGCCCTACATCGTGCGGCAGTGTGTGGAGGAGGTGGAGAAGAGGGGTATCGAGGAGGTCGGCATCTACCGGATATCAGGGGTGGCCACGGACATCCAGGCGCTGAAGGCTGTCTTTGATGCCAGTGAGTGTGGGAGGCCCTGCCTGGGCACTGGTGGGGAGAGGGCACTCCGGGAGCGCAGGAGAACCAGAGGCCTTGTCCACAGAGAGGCCCCAAGTAGCCGATGGCCAAGGAGCTTTGTCCTGTGAACTACACTTCAGTGTGCCACGCGGTGGGCCGTCTCTGAGTCTCTGATGCAAGGACTCTGCCTGTATTTTCTTGTGACATCCGCCTCCCCTCCAGTCCCTTATCGATTGCTCCAGATGAGAAACTGAGACTCAGAGAGGCCAAGTCACCCAGCTTATAGGTTTTGAGCCTCCTTTCCTCTCAGCTCTTCCTTACTCCTGTGTTCCTGGCTTTCTTGCTAGCTCCCCGGTGCATAGTGGGCTGTAAGGAAATTAAAGGGCTTCGAGCCTGGGCTGGCTGGCTTGGGCTCCCTTCTCTCTCCAGAGCCCGAGTGCCCTGGGGGAGGGACATTGCTACCTCTAGCCCTGTAAACTCCTCCGTGGTGGGGCCTGACCTTTCTGGTTCTTCTCTCCCCCATCTTGCTGGTTCAAGCTTCAGTAGTCCGGCAACCTGAACTGCCCAGGCAGTGCTGATTCCATGGGAGCCGAGGGGAGGCCTGTGTTCGGGAAGCCTGGGGGTGAGGGACTGGGGATGTGCTGGCATACGGCTCCTCGGTGCAGCCTAGAAGCTGAGGCTTTGTCAGAACATGATTTTACGTGTAAAAAATGTGCGGGGCCTTCCAGAGGGAGGCTCAGCAGTGGGGAGATTCTAAAGAGGGTGTCTGACATGTGGTGTGAATGTGACTCCAGAACTCTGGATGAAGAGCTCTGCTCCCCTGCCCCCCACAGGACTGAGTCACAGACCACCTGTGGGCACTGCCTACATCCTGCCTTTCCTGGGGAGACCAGAGCTCACATGGAGTGGGTGGGGGCTTCCCTGGCTGTGTCGTGTGGGATGGAGCGGGCCGCCCACCTGGCTGAGAACTGCGTGGAAGACGGGCTCAGGCTGGTGCCCTCCCGATTGCACCCCCTCTGCAGATAACAAGGACATCCTGCTGATGCTGAGTGACATGGACATTAATGCCATCGCCGGCACCCTAAAGCTCTACTTCCGGGAGCTGCCCGAGCCCCTCCTCACAGACCGGCTTTACCCAGCCTTCATGGAGGGCATCGGTGAGGCTCTGTGGGACCAGAGGGCTGGGCTGACATCCATGGCTCTGAGAGGGTGAGGTGTGACCTGCTGGGGCCTGATCCAGAGGCTGGACCCTCTCTCAACTGCCTCTCTCCCCTCTTATCCCTGTGGGCCGCCCTCTGTGCTTCCTCCTTGAATATTGACCTCCTTGCTTGGAAAGCCCGGTGTCCAGGGAAATGTGCCCTGAGGTGGGTGGTCAGGGCCAGCATCCTAGAGCCAAAGACAAGCCTGGCTGGAATGCACTGGAGATGGCTGGAACCCAGCCTTCCAGAGGAGCACTTGCTCACTCTCACTGATGCCATGGGTGGGGCGGAAGCCAAGGGCCTTGCCAGCGGGGCTCCAGCCACCACCCACCTGGGCTGAATCCAGGCCTGGGCACATTCTCTCCTGCCTCTCCCCTGCCTCCCCCTGCCTCCTCCTCCCTGCCTCCTCCAGGGGCAGATCAGGGCTTCAGCCACCACAAGAAGTGAGGAACCCCACGGAAGGCTGCTAAATGCCTGCTCCAGCATCACAGGCAGCTGGAAGAGAGGAAATGTTCAAAGCAGTGTCCTCGTTGCCTAAAACTTAGCCTCCTAGACCAGGGACGGGAAAGGGCAAGAGCCATGAAGGCCCATGCAGGAGGGGTCCAAAGTTGCCTGCTCCCCCCAGCCGGCCTCCTGACTGAGTTACAGGTCACAGGTGGGGGCTTCCACAGGAATCAGCTGTTCATAGCCCACCCCCGGGAAGATACTAGGCCCTTCATTCCCCCACAGGGTTTGCTCAGGCCTCCCCACCCGGGAGCCGAGCCCCACCCTAGCTCCGCTCTCCCCACAGCCCTGTCAGACCCTGCTGCCAAGGAAAACTGCATGATGCACCTGCTCCGCACCCTGCCTGACCCCAACCTCATCACCTTCCTCTTCCTGCTGGAACACTTGAAAAGGTAATGAGCGGGAGCCCAGGGCAGGCCACTGTCTGGGGAGGACACATTCATTGGCTGGGGAACCCACCTCCTCAGCCCTGCCTCATGGGTGCTGGCCTCTGCTGGGTCATCCATCAAAGGGTAAGAGTTTGCTTTTCAAACTCTTGCCTTCAAATTCTTCTGTTTTGAGAAATATTTGAGTCTTAATAGCAACCTCAAATATTGGCCATACATTGCTTAGAAAGGCAGGGCCAGAACCAACAACTGGGTGGATCCTGTAGTCAGTGCTCATTCAGTCAGCTTCACATTTTTATTTTTTTTTAATTTTTTTATTTATTTATGATAGTCACAGAGAGAGAGAGAGAGAGAGAGGCAGAGACACAGGCAGAGGGAGAAGCAGGCTCCATGCACCGGGAGCCCGACGTGGGATTCGATCCCGGGTCTCCAGGATCGCACCCTGGGCCAAAGGCAGGCGCCAAACCGCTGCGCCACCCAGGGATCCCCAGCTTCACATTTTTAAATGGAAGGAACCAGACAGCATAGGGTACACTGCAAGCAGTAGCGTGCATGTTGTTCTGTTCAGTTGCACATGGTCATGTGTCCTGGGTTATGACATCAAGTGTGTTTGTTGTGGCTCACAGTCAGAAGTTTGCAACCTGCTGGTCTTGACCTACACCTCATCTAACAGATAGGGAAACTGAGCCCCAGCCCAGCACAGATTTGCTTGGGGTTAGCAACGCTCTGTCCTTGGAAGGCACGGGTCCCAAATCCTAAGCCCCCCTCCCACCTTCTGCCCGCCCCTTCTATCCTTGAGTCCGGGGAAGAGCTGTTCAAGTCGATGCCTGCAGCAAAGTTCAGAATGGGAACCAGCCCTCACGGTGTCCTCACCACTTGATTTGGAGCCCAGTGCTGGACCGGGTGTTAGTGGGAAGGAAAAGCATCCTGGTGTCCCTTCAATCCACTTGCCACCCAGGACCAGGAAGCACCCTGAGCCGGGGCCATGCTGTGGGCCAGCTCCTCCCTGGGCCTGGGCTCTAGGCTGCAACTCAGCCAGGCCAGCTCTGGAGGGCCAGCAGAGCCCTGGAAATGCCTGGGGCTGCTGTCTTATTTTTCCCGTTATGAGACATTTTCCCTCTGGTTTGGCCAGAACCGAAGCCCCAACCAATTCCCATAGGTTGGTGAGCACTGTGGGGAGAGGACACACAGAAGAGGAGTGGGAAGGGAAAATCCATTAGGTTTTCCACCCTGGGAACCAGGCAGTCTGTTCCCACATCTGGGCCCCTGGCTAGTGTGTGTGTGTGTGTTTGTGTGTGTGTGTGTGTGTGTGTGTGTGTGTGTGTGTGTGTGTGTGTGTAGCGGGGGCTGGGCTGGCTGCACAGCTGCCTCCTGGCTGGGCAATGTTTGCCCATTTCCAAAGCAGTCATCATGCGCATCCGTGGCTCTTGCCTAGAGGCTGGGGATGATGGTATAGCTGGGAGTGGGGGCGGGTACTGCTCAGGGTCAGTGGTCTCAGTCGCAGGGACATTTCCTTGGGCCGAGGGAGGCCCAGGGCCTCTTTGATGTGTTGGGTGGTACTGGGTCTGCCTGGACCCCAGCCACAGATGGCAGCCCCTGCTGTCACTCAGAGAAAATAGCTATTGAGCATGTGGCCCATTAGGTAAGAAGCAGAGAAAGATCCGAAGGGAAGCAACTGTGGAGTCCCGTGAGGAAGACCCTTCTGGAAAGGCACAGAATAGCCCCTGGGCTCCATCTGGGATTAGGGTCATTCTTGCCACAGCACAGCAGGCAGAACCGAGGTCTAGTTAGCAGCTGCTGCTGACCCCTGCCACTCTCCCCACACACACACACACACGGGGACCCTCTCCCCGAGCACCTCACGGCAGCTTGGCTGACTCTGGGGAGAGCACAGGGTGGTGGAGAACATGCGCTCTGAAGGCAGACCGTGCGGGGTCAGACCCCAGCTCTGCCACTGGCTAGCAGTGTGACCTTGGGCAAGTCACGTCATGCCTCTGTACTCTGGTTTCTTCATCTGTACGGTGGTGGTGATAAGGACGTCCCCACAGGCTGTGGTGAGCAGGAGCAGGAGGGAAAGTTCTTGAGTTGGTAATGTCATTATCCCCAAGGCGAAGGAGTTGGAGTTGGTCCTCATTCTGGCAGTTTACCATCAAGGGGTGACCCTGGGAGCTAGGAATCTAATATAGGAACGTACTGGGACATAGCTGGAGACTTGGTCCATTGGCTTCGTCCCTCCCTACCAAGAGGTCTCTACCCTAGGAGAGGGTGGACAGTGCCCACCTTCTGGGAGTCCTTCCAGTTCTTCTAGTTAAGGACAAGGGTCTGGAGCTCCCAGTGGCTGCTAAGAAGTGACTTCTGTGGCCCCTCCCCCACCTTTCAGGGTTGCTGAGAAGGAACCCGTCAACAAAATGTCCCTTCACAACCTGGCTACTGTGTTTGGCCCCACGTTACTGAGACCCTCAGAAGTGGAGAGCAAAGCACATCTCACGTCAGCTGCAGACATCTGGTCCCATGATGTCATGGCACAGGTACCTCCAGCACTGCGTGGGCCTGTGGCTGGCAGAGTCGTGCGACGGGCTTCCCCTCGGGGGTGGAGGGAAAACAGCTCAGGGTGCCACTCCCTTCCCTGCTGAGCAGCTGGGCATTGGGTCTGTAGGATGTCACCAGGGAGGCAGGGCTCTGCACCAGGGGCCTGGAGAACATCTGTCCCAGGGGCTGACTGCAATCCTGGGGTGCCTCAATCTCGCCACTCGATTTGGGCACATCTGGGGGCCTTGTCCTCATGTGTGCAAGCTCTAGGATTGCTTCCAGAGTGAGGAAGTTTTCCCCTGAATCCCTACGAGATCCAGGGCAGAGTCCAGTCTGGAGGCAGAGCCGCCCAGCCAAAGCCAACCTCTGGAGCAGGCTTGGAAGCTTCTGGCTGAGGTTGCGGAGTGGCCCTGGGCTCCGCAGCCCTCTGCTCTGCAGCGCCCTCTGCTGCTACAAGTGGGCACACACCTGGGCTTCTGGAGAGGGCCAAGCGGCCTGAGACAGCCCAAGGGTGGGGAGGGGGGGCACAGAGGTGACCCCAGCCCAGGGACCACTTCTCCACGTAATGGAGGAGAGCCAGGAGGACAAGGAGCCCAGGCTGAGTCTTCCCTGTCCCCCCACAGGTCCAGGTCCTCCTCTACTACCTGCAGCACCCCCCCATTTCCTTCGCAGAACTGAAGCGGAATACACTGTACTTCTCCACCGACGTGTAGCCAAGATGGGAGCTGCTGTGGGGACGCCCCGGCCAGCCTCTCCAGCCCGGGGACCCGACACAGACTGGAAAGACTACACTAGGAACCCCCCCCTACCCAGCACTCCAGACTCCAAGGGACGCAGATTTCCAAGAACTGGAATATGTGCATCTTCCGTGCCACCTGTACAAAGCCGGCTGCCCCCGCCTCCCCCGCCACGCCCCAACCCTGCCCTCCGTACCTCTAGTTGTGTCTAATGCTCCGTGCCGTTCAGGAATTGTTTTATGTCTATTTGTCATGCAGAAATGGTAGTGACCGACCCAGTGTGGGCATACAGACAGCCTGCTTTGTTCTTTCGTTTCCTCCACCACTTTCTCCCCCCGCCCCCCAAGTCCAGTCCAAGGGCTTTTATTTTGCGCTCTGTAACTGCTGCCAGCTTCTCCTCTCTTGGCCCTGCTCCCAGATCGCAGCCTCCGGGCCGCGTCCCCTCGGTTTGCCTCCACCCTCTCCTTCCTCCCAGCCTGCCCACATGCATGTGCAGCCTTGGTTTTTGCTCCATCACTCTGAGAGTTGAGGGGGCCCCGGGTGGCGGTGGCGGCGGTGGCAGTGGCCCCATCCAAGGCCGCCGCTGGCTGCCCCCCAGCCCTTCCCCCGCCCCCAGCCTGTGGAAGCACACCTGCTTCGCCCTGCTGCCCATGCACATGTCAGACACGGAGGCAGCCTCACACTAATCCTCAGCTTAGCACAGAGCTAGAGAGATTTCTGGAACTTCCACCTGACAATCTCCATTTCTGGGGTTTATCTGTTCCAACTCCTGCCTCCCAGTGAGGCATCTTTGACTGTTTCTTCTGCTTTTCAGTTCCTTTTCCCCTGGTGTTCTATTTTCCTTTGAGTGTAAAGACTCACAAGTGACCTGCTATTGAGAGAGCCAGAGGGTCAGGAATCCAGGGACACGGGAGAGTTGGGTCACTGAGGAAACAGGATGGGCTGAACATCCAGAAAAGTGCCATGTAGCACTGGGCACCCTAAGTTGGGGGGAAGCGGCTCTCAGCAGCAAGGGATTATAGTGGCTTTTCTACTGGAGCCAGGTCTCTAGGAGGGCAATGGATAGGGCTGAAGCAGGTGTCCGGAAGCAGGCAGGCTCCGTCCAGGAGGCAGCCCCTTCCAGGTACCTCTCGTACCTCGTGGTAACTTTGCCTTAGAATTTACACATCCTCCACAGCCAAGCACTGCCACAGGGCAGCCCCTATGGCCACGTGTGCTCCGGGGCCTGGGAAAGACAGGCACAGTCCAGCAGTAGCCAGCCATCATGGTGCTGCCTCCCCACCCACAGCTTCTAGATGTGCCTTTTGGCTGAACTCTAGGAAACTGCAGAAGTTGGGGAGGAATGAGGAGTCCCAGGCACCTGCCTCTCTTGGGACTGGGCTTTGCTGGGGACATTGTCGAGTAGAGGATCAGCAGGTTCTATTCCCAACCATGAGACCCATTTGTCCGTACCAGGAAGGAATAAGAGGTATACTGAAAGCGCAGTTTCCTCCCATCCGAGCAGTAGCTGCCAGCACATGGCAGTTGGCCTGAGAGAGCAAACCCTCCCGGGCTGCAGGGGCTTGAGCACTGTTTTCTGGCTCTCCTGTGTGGCAGAGAGTAGAGTCTAGGCCCTCAGAATTAGAGAAACCGCTCCCTTAGCTTGCACTCAGGGCTGAGTTTTAAAGAAGGGTCTGCTGGCCCTAAAGCTATATCATTGGCTTAGTGAGAGGCAGGGCCCTTTCTCATCTAGTTTACACCTGTTGCCCAGTCTTGGGCAGAACGGTACACATTCTGTGCACATGAGAGGAAAGAAAAGCCTAAGGGGAGGGAAATGATTCTGACCACGTAGCTGTTAGTGGCTTAGCAAGGAGCCCTGCTCCCTGGGACCGGAGGTGAAGGAACACAATGGAGTCTAAAGAGCCCAGCCTGTGACCATCCCTGGTATCTCTGCTCAGCACTCTGGCGTGTGGCATGGAAGGCTTATGCTTCCAAAGCCACTGATGATGGTGAACTGGAGGCCCAGCTAGAGCTAGCTACAGCTAAAAGTGGGTGCCTCCCACCTCCCCTAAACGAGATGTTGGCTTCTCGGCATCAGGTAGCTACCACAGCCCCCAGGCTTGCTTAGGTGATCCTGAGAATAGGAAGGCTGGGGGCGCTGAGAAATGCAAAAGGCTCAGAATATTTATAAATCCCACCCCCAGGGTGGGGAGGGGCAGGTACCAGACACAGAAGCAGCTGCACTAAGGAAACAGCCCATGGGTTCTCCTAAGTCAGGCTGCGCAGCCCAGGACCCCTGGCCACTGCGCCCAGCAGGACAGGCTGTGCCAACAGGAGCCCAGCACCCAGTCTGCAGGAATCCCAGTGTGCCTGTCCCTGCTGGCAATGGCTGTTGGCTGCCAGTTTTTGCTGATACAGGTAGGATGGGAATCTTCATTAATATTTGACTTTAAGAAGTTGGTAAGGATATATTTTTTTTGTCTGTTCTGTTTCAACTTATGTAGATTATTATAAATTGATGTAAACCACGTGAGAGGAAAATGTTAATAAAAAAATGCAAAGCCCCAACATTTGCACACAACTCAGCCCTGTGGTGTGGACATTTGTATACTCAGTAGTCCAGGGAAGACTACCAATCTAAATATTTAACTCTTCCAGCTGCCTCCAGATAGGAGTTTCCAGGAATCTATGCACCCAGTTAACTTCCCTTGAGCTTCCCTTCAGCCTATGGGGGCTGTGGCAGTTGGGGGGGGGGGGTTAGGCAAACCCAAGACCTTGTGCAGAGGCCTCCAGGTCAGTCACCAGCCAGATTCCTTTCATGAAGGACAAAGACCCCAACAAAGACCTGGCCGTCAGTATGCCTGCGAGGGATGGCAGAAAACTGTCAATCCAAGTAGAGGCTTCTTACTTTATGTAAACTTTTCTCATTTTCCTTGGAAGTAGATGTCTTTGGGGCAGCCTTTTGGCCTAGTCTGAGAGCCAGCAGGGTTAATATAGGTTCCCACCAGCCTAAGCCAGTGAACACAATGTTTATTCTGGAGATCAGGAACAGATGTCTCTGAAAATTGGTGTTTGGTTTGTGAGCTCATACTGACTCCTTAGCCATCTAAAACAGGAAACTATTCATCTCCTTTCTTGATTGAATAGTCAATGTGGACAATGCTTGGCTTATTGAAATGATGGCTACTGACAGCCCCAGGGCTCATCTGCTTCAAGGGAGTCATAAAGGCAGCGTTTCTTGTATTCATTCAGGGTATTTGACCCTCCTTGTTAGACTGCCTGGTAGAAGATGCCAGGCATCCTAGTAGTTTGACAGCTGCCAGGTAGGAGCGTCTGCTCTTGCTCTTAAAGTGCTTATAGGTGACTCATTTAGGGACAGTATAGGAAACAGTCCTTTGTTCCCAGACCTTTGAGGATACTCCAGCCGGCCTAGGAGCAGTGAAGCCTCATACCTGTGAGACTGGGCTCAATATTATTTAGAATTCATCATAGTAGGACGTAAACTCTGCATTAACTCACATTCACTGCAAAGGAAATGGGTATGGCCAGAGAAAGGTGTTACCAAGCTGAATTTGACATTATCACTCACTCTCACACACACACCACAGGACATCAGGACCTCTCAGCCAAGTCTGAATTCTGGTTAGAAGGAGGTAAGCTAGAAGACAGCAGAAAAGGGGGGGAAGAAAGCCAAAAAAGGTGAAGGTGTTTGTGTACAGTAGAAAACAAGACATTACTGCTGGCTGAAAGTGGCTGGAGTTTCACGGCCCCACCAAGCCTACCTTCCTGCCCCAAAATGGGAAAGCCTGAGCTCATTACCTTCATGTATTACCAAAGGACCAGAGTAAAGAAGCACTTGTGGCAGATCCTAACCATAAGAGCCTTTTTTTTTTGCCCCAGGGCACATAATCAAGCCAAGCTGCTATTGTCAGAAAAAGGCTACTACTAGGTCAAATAAAAAACAATGTTAAAAACACACACACACACAAACAAAAAAGCCTGATACCTGAGAACAAGAGTAGTGGTGAACAGCCCCTCAACACTGATCTTCCCCAGCAGCTGCTGATTTGAGTCATCAGGAGGACCTTAGCAGGAGTCTTCATACGTCGTGTCCTTGAGCTGGGTCTAGTCCAGTGGTCAGACCATAAAACCAATGTGGCTCAGACCACAGGCATTCCCATCGGCCAGCACACAGGAAGGTTTTTAGAAGAGGCCAAGGCTTATGCATGGAATGTCCATGTATCTTAGGACATGGCTAGGCTAGGCTTCTTGGATGGTAGGCCCCGGCTGAGGTAACAATCTCCATTAACACTATTCTACAAACCCTGAGAATCGAACATTCCCACACTTCTCAAGAGCTTTCTCACTCTCCCACTGGATGTCCAATCTCTGGGCCACCTGGCATCATTTTTGGGAATCATGGAATATGAAAATAAAAATAAACCAACCTGTTATTTATTCATTGATTTTATAGTATGAACGGCCTTTATTGTTCGTAATGGGAAATAAAGGGGAGGAGGGGACATGACAACTCTGGCTCCAAAGGCAGCTCCGAAGACTCTGTCCCTGTTCCCTCCTGCCAAAAACTTAACCAACCTTTTAAATTGTAATATAATATTTTTTAACAAAGATAGAACACTAAACAAAATAACAATGGGTCATAAGGTATAAATGTACTCTGCCCTGCCACATGAGATGACCGACTACAGGGACATCCAAAGTAGACGAGCTTCCTGGATTTGTGTCCAGTCACCTCTGGTCCCACCGCACCGAATCGCCAGAAGGCCAGCTGTGGTCAGAGCTGAACCTTTGGGGAGCTTAGTTCCTACAAGTCAATACATTCCTGATCTGCCTGAGAAGGGCTGGTATGGCACATTCCACACGCCCAAAGTGTGGCTGGAATCCAGGAGCCAAGAACATGGCTCCTCAAGGTGGCAGTCAGGTGGCTCCCTCGTGACACCAACCACATGAGGGAGAGCAAAGGTGTGTGGTCTCTGAAGCAACTGCCCTCCACAAGGCAGCTCTGATCCTGGGGTGGCAATGTCCTTCCCTGGAGGCAGTAACTCTCACCGTAGGTAATAATCAATTGCAGCAGAGAAAGCAGCAAAACCTCCACAACCAATGACCCCGGCCTTTAAGCCAGCTGTAAAGCAAAGAGAAGTGACATTACCTGTGGTGACAGACACCGAGTCAGACTGCATTCAGAAGTGTGCCTCACCGTAGATGCAGAGACACTGGTGTCAATATTCTCCTTCAACCAACCCATCAGATCTGTCAGACTTCCACGAAGCAGTGTCCACAATCTACTCCAGTGTGCTTTATCTAGCTGTACATCCAGCTTTTCTCATTCCAAAAAATTACAATTTCGATTTCCAGTTTCATGAAATAGCTCCTCGCAGGCAGGAAACTGGTTAAGAGAACCAGCCCTTGGAACCAAGTGAAAGCATATGGCCTGTTCCCCGGATTTGTTTATGAAATAAATTCCTGGGAAGGTGACCAAAGCAATCCTAGAGGGAGCTGAGCTTCTCAAAGTCCCTGACAAAGCTGAGCGATGGGAAGATCAAAGGAAAAGTTACTCTATAAATCACAAATGGCTATCTGAGGAGCAGAAGCAGCTTTTAATGATAGCAAATCATCCTGCCTTTCAGAAAATGAGAAAACAGGCTTTTTGTTTTGGGCAAATCAGGGCACAGCAGATAGAGGGTGGCCCAGCAATGGACACTGGGAGGAGAGTCGGGTCATTGACACCCCACACCACCCCCTTGATGGGCACACCAACAGGGAGAAGTGCAGAGAACAGTTTTCTTTGTTGTTACAATTGATAACCTGACATTTCTAGAATACCTCTATCTGGCTTTCAATGGGTAGAAATCTAAGAATCCTCAACTGCAAAAACAACTACCGTGTAACTTATACATAATATTAAAACTGACAGTTGTACAGTATTAAAATGTCTTAACTGCTTGAGACAAAGTCCAGCAGGGACTTTGGATAAATGGGCTCTCCGGAGCTGAATGAGACTTAGCTGTACGTCTGTACTATCCTGCAGATCAACACAGTTCAGGAATTACTTACTGGGAGAAGTTCTCATGTGTTCAATGTGAGGGCAGTTTTGTTTCGTTTTGTTTTTTAGGTTTTACTTATTTGTTCATGAGACACAGAGAGAGAGGCAGAGGGAGAAGCAGACTCCCTGTGGGGAGCCGGAGGTAGAACTCGATCCCAGGACCCTAGAATCACACTCTGAGCCATCCAAGCATCCCATCTTTTTTCTAAAATGTAGATCTTTCTGTGGTTCTTACCATGGGTGGTTTTGTCCCCTAGGGGAATTTGGCAATGCTTAAGAGATACTTTCAATAGTCACTGCTAACTGATACTTCTAGCTTCTAGTGGGTAGAGGCAAGGGATACTGCTAAACATCCTACAATGCACGGAATAGCCCCACTCTCCTCCCAGAAAAGATTTATCTGGTCCAAAATGCCAGCAGTGCCAAAGATGAAAACCCCTGATCTAGATATTAGAAGTTCCCAAAATTAAGTTAATGCAAAAGTAAATGTGTCTTACTTGTCAGAAGGGAAGAGTATCAAGTATCCACATATGCCTTGGGCTATCCCTGGAACACTCATATGTTTGAAAATGTCAACTATAGCACGTTGTCCAAGGCCACAAAGAAAACCATGCAAGAGTTGTTTACTAACCTCTGAAACCAATGGCTCCTCCAGTGATGCAGCCACTAATGACACTGTTCTTCCAATCTGATTTTCCCCGGTACTGTGGGTGGAAAAGTACAGTTCAGAGCCAAAGAAACAAGCCAGACAAGATGATTAAGGGAAAAAAAACACAGTTTCTAGCTGGCTAATTTAGTCCCTCCCCCAAAGGAAACCTAATCCTTTTCACTTTCAAAAGTATAGTTCCTAAAATTTGAATGTGTTCATGGATACTTCCTGCAGGTGGTACCAGAGTGCTGAAACCAAGTGTACCATTTGAGAAGCAATCAAAATCTCTTCTCTGGTTCCCCAATAAGTCTCATGATTAAAATGATTAAGCAACTTCTAACAGACACATGAAAACATGTTCAATATCACTCATCACCAGGGAAATGCAAATCAAAACTAAATGAGCTAACGCCTCACATCTCTCAGAATGGCTAAAATCAACACAATAAACAACAGGTGTTGGGTGAGGATGTGGAGAAAGGGGAACCCCTTTCCACTGCTGGTGAGAATGCAAACTGATGCAGCCACTCTGGAAATCAGTATGAAGGTTCCTCAGAAAGTTAAAAATAGAACTCTTGGGGTGCCTGGCTGGCTCAGTCAGTGGAGCATGTGTCTCTTGAGCTCAGGGTTAGGAGTTCGAGCCCCACATTGTGTATAGAGAGTAGTTAAAAATAAAATCTTAAAAAAAAGTTCTACTGTACAATCCAGCAGACTGCTAGGTATTTACCCAAAGAATACAAATACTACTTCAAAGGGAAACATGCACCCCGATATTTATAGCAGCATTATCTACAATAGCCAAATTATGAAAACAGCACAAGTGTCCATCTATTGACAAATGGGTAAAGATGTGATGTTTACACACACACACACTGAATACTCAGCTATAAAAAGAATTTTGCCATTTGCAATGTCATGGATGGAGCTAGGGAGTATTATGCTAAGCAAAATAAGTCAGAGAAAAACAAATACCATATGATTTCACTCATGTGGAATTTAAGAAACAAAAACAAATAGGCAAAGGGAAAAAAAGAGAGAAAAGGGCAAGCCAAGAAACAAACTCAACTACAGAGAACAAACCGATGGTGACCAGAAGGGGAGGGGGTGGGGGATGGGTGAAATAGGTGATAGGGTTTAAGGAGCGCACTTGTGATGAGCACCAGGTGTTGTATTATGGAAGTGTGGAATCAGAGACACCTGGGTGTGGCTCAGCAGTTGGGCGTCTGCCTTTGGCTCAGGATGTGATCCCGCAGTCGCGGGATATCGGGATCAAGTTCCACATCGGGCTCCCTGCATGGAGCTTGCTTCTCCCTCTGCCTCTGTGTGTCTCTCATGAATAAATAAATAAAACCTTTAAAAAAAAAAAGGAAGTGAAAAAAAATAAAAATAAAAAATAAAATTTAAAAAAAGGAAGTGTGGAATCACTATACTGTACGCCTGAAACTAATATCACACTGTATGTTAACTAGAATTTTACAAAATTTAAAAAGTAAATCATTAACCAAATTCTAGCCTACAAAGAAACGTAAAAAACAACGCAAGCCCAAGTAAATGCAATAAATGCACAAAAAGTTTACATTCAGAACTATTCAATGAAAATTCAACCTAGCAAGTATCAGACATTTCTGCTCTGTTTTCTAATTAATAACGCTCTTTAGAAGTCATAAGATGGTACAAGTCTTTCTCAGAAGGCAGAGACACTTACAGATTCTACCAAACACTCGGTGCAAGAAAACATGGCGCCCACAATGGCAAAATTTTTGGCGTAAGACATTCCTCTCTGTCCCATGTCTTTCAGAACTTCTTTTGCTGTCGGCGTACGGTAAGGATCCTTAGGGTCAAAGCCCACATTGGTATCAATGCCAGCAGTGAACACTCCAAAGGCACCTCCCAAGACAAATCCTAAAAAGAAACACACAGATGAAGATGGCATGTTTTCTGGGTTACTGTAATGAGGTCATACTCGAATTGCACATTTGGATGGCTACCAGCAAAGAGGACACCCCCTACCTACTGCCCCCACTCCATCTTACCAAACTCTCCAGTTATCTGGTTGCACATCACGCAAGCCATAAACTATCTTGTTGACATCTTCTTCTCTGTCTTCGATTTCGTCCTCTTTTCATTTTCTAACATTCCTCAAGATTCAATCTTTAACCTTCTGTTCTGTCTGTACTCATTCAACTCTCAACTTTGCAAATCACTCCCTTGACAATGGTGACATTCATAACTATCATTTAGTGAGCACCATGCGCCAATTACTCTGATGCTTTATAGTCACAGCTCCTTTTATTTTTCACAATAGTCTCGTGAGGTAGATACTATTACCCTTTTCATTCTACAGCTGAATCGGCTGAGGCTCAGGGAGGTTAAGTAACTTTCCTAAGGTCACAGAGCTACCAAATAGCAACCATACACTGCTGTCCCCATCTTTCTGAGCCTGCTAGACACTTCCATATAGATGTCCTCTCATCACCTCAAGGTCAAAATATGTTTAATGAAGTCATGGGCACCTTCCCTCCAGACTTTCTTCCTTCTTTCCAGTCACTCCAGCTCCAAAGCTGAAGGGCATTTCTGACCAGTTCTTTGCTTTCCCCTACAACCCTATGTTCACAGTTATCATCCTAGTCTAAGGCCTGTATCACTCCCACTCTAGAGCAATACAAAGACTTATTCATCATTTTAACAAATATGTAAGTGATGTATTAGGTTCGGACATAATGATGAACAAACACCAAGGCCACGCTGCACTGCACCTCAGTTTTGCAAATTCCCTATGCTGTCTTCCCACCCACACTTTCTTTCTTCACCACACTCTATGCTGGGTCATCATGTGCATCAATTACTGCTCTAATGCCTAAAGACAAAAAAGCCCAAAGCCCCAACTCCACCTCCAACTTGAAAGGGCATTTCTCCTCCTCTTTATCCCCATTCTCTCAATCCTTCAAGATACAGCTGCAGTCAGTCTCACCTCTTGTAGCCTTCCCCAAACCATAAAAATACTGTTCTCTTTCTACTACATACCTGCACTCCCACTGTATTTGTTTCTTGTCTTTCATTCTCATGAGATTTCAACTCATCTGCAAATGTGGCCAACCTCTTTACAGGAGGGACACCATACACTCTCAAATCCTTTTTCAAAAGGTCTAAAAAAAAAAAAAAGGTGTGTGGGGGGGAGGAGTCTTTCCCCCTTGTTTCCCACCATCTAATCACACTGTCCACACTGGCCTTTGTTTTTTTTCTTTTTTTTTTTTAAAGATTTTATTTATTTATTTGAGAGCTAGCGAGAGAGCACTAGCTGGGGGAGGGGCCGAGGGAGAGGGAGAGCAGACTCCCCGCTGAGGTGGATCCCAGGTCCCTGGAGTCCTGACCCGACCTGATGGCAGATGCTTAACCTGCTGAACCACAGAGGTGCCCCTGTCCTTTGTTTTTCAAACAGGAAGCCAGCTCCTGCCGGACCTTGGCAGTTGCTGCTCCCCATGTTCCACTTTCCTGCCTGGCTCCTTCCCAACATTCTTATTTATATATATATATAAATGTGAGCTTCATGAGAACCTGGCTCTAGTCTCTAACCCTGTCCCTCCACCCCTGAGCACGTGACGGTTACTTTTAACAACTCGTTGAAAGAATGCTTATTTAGGGACGCCTGGGTGGCTTAGCAGTTGAGCGTCTGCCTTTAGCTCAGGGCATGATCCCAGAGTTCCCGGATCGAGTCCCACATCGGGCTCCCTGCATGGAGTCTGCTTCTCCCTCTGCCTCTTTCTCTGTGTCTCTCATGAATAAATAAGTAAAATCTTCAAAAAAAACTAAAGAATGCTTATTTAAAAGCGAACCAACGAATGAAGGCAGGCATTTTATAACCTTTAGGCCCAACCCATATGGTACCGATTCTCTGACCCAATTTCCAGGGGCGAAAAATAACCTCAGGGCCTAGAGAGGGGTCACCCGAGCTCACGGACCCAGGCAGGGGTGCAGTCAGGAGCGAGGTCCACAGGCTCCTCGCCTCCCGGGCGCGTGGTCTTCTTGGCAGAGGACCCCGCTGCCGTGCAAGCCCTCAGCCTCCCAACGGGCCCCCTAGTCTTGCCTCACCTCCCACGCAGGCCAGCGCCGCCTTGAAGGCGCAGCTTTCCATCGCCTTCTCGATCATCTTCTGTTCCTCACTCTTGATCGGGCTCGGGATCCCGCCCAGACTACTGGGCTCCAGCAGCCGGGGCTGACGCTTGTCGCCCACCAGGTACTGCAGAAGAAGGCTGTACTGCAGCGGGGCTTCGGCGGAACCCGCTGCCTCAGGCGCGGAGGCCCCCGCACTGGGGGTAGTCGCCACCATGACCGCAGATGCCCGAGAAACCCTGGCGTTCTTCTTCCCACAGCAGATTCCGCAAGCTTCACGTTAGGGCGCGCCTAGCCCCCGTGACGCAACGGCAGATTCGCCACAACGAGCAAGTGCAAGGAACGACGCCAGCGAAGTCCGTTCGTGCCTCCGGCGAGAGAGATACCATGTTCCCCAAAAGCCCCTTGTCAATACCGAATCAGGCTTGTGCAGCATCCAAACGGCACTAACAAACAAGATTTAGAGTCACCAGAAAGCGCCCTCTTCGTCAGGGCGGCAGCGCGGTGGGTACCGCGATTCGTAGGCCAGGCATCTCCCAGGAGGCTCTGCGCGGGCGCGCGCCTCGGGGCCTCCTCTGGAGCTCCCGACTGCGGGGAGGGGGCGGAGGAGCGCCCCCGCGAGGCTGCAGCGCGCCGGAGCCCCGCCAGGGGGCGCACGCACCGCGCCGCTGCCCTTCCAGCCTACTCCTTCCTCGCACGGGTGGTGAGAGGTAAATGGTGGAAAGTGCTTTGTGAATAAACGTAAAAGCCTGGTATAAATGTATGCAATATATGTTTTATTTGACAATTAAACCCTTGCGGAGAGAGAAAGGGCCCAACAAATGAGTGAACTAATGAGCGAAGCTAGCTAAGTGTAAGAAAAGGAGGTGGAGAGGGCAAGGCTGGGGCCCCTACCCACGGTCCAGCCAGTTATTGTTGGTGGAATTGGCGATGTGGGACTAGCATTGCCCTGGAAAGCCAGGTTTAAATTATGTGAAACCAATTAAAATGTTCACCAGCTTGCAGACTCAGAACCTGAAGGTAAACTGTAAGGTAGTACTATGCATGAATCCAGAAAAACTTTTGCACTAGTTTTTATGTTACTAAAATAGATTCCACACTATTGCATTGGTCCAGACTAGCAATGTATTTGAGTGTTTTAGCTAAGAGAAACCTTAATGGAAACAGGTGGTGAGCATAGCCAGTTGAGGTGGGCAGAGATACTTCTTTGGTACCCGAAGTTCTCAGTGCGTCCCAGCACAGCAAATGCTTTGATGTGGGAAACAAAGGCAGAAGAAAAATTGCTAAATTTTCTTACTCCCTACAGCCCAGTGACAAGACCTTGAAACAGGCAGAGTGACATTCCTCTAGGGACTCAATGCCTCCATGTTGATACTTTGTTAAGGGCAGAAGGGAATCTTAGCCCAACCCCAGGATCCTGTAAGTCTACTTTAACATGTAGAAATTCCTTTAGAAATTTTCTTTATCTCTAACCCCCCAAGATACATGTTGGCGATCATCCCCCAAGCATACGACCTAACAATATTCATCTGAAGGGGCTCATGACATTACTGTATCAGACAGTAGTAAATGGCCTTTTCCCAACAATAGCTACCCCATCAAGGTCCTGGAAACCCTGCTTCCAAAATTCCTTAGAGACTTAAGGTGTCCCTAAGCCCTCCCAACTTAAAGTATATGAACAGGCCGCTCCTCATGACCCCAGAGCAGCTCTTTCTGCCCACAGGTCCTGTCCCTGTGCTTTCATAAAATCACCTTTTTGCACCAAAGACATTTCAAGAATTCTTTCTCGACCCTTGGCTTTGAACCCTAATGTCTTTTCCTACCTCATGCTTCACCCTGATTCTGTTCCCACCAAGCCATTGAGTGGGCTGGTCTGAGGGTCCCCAGCAACTTCCCAGTTGTTGAATCTCTTATTTTAAGATTTATTTATTTACTTGAGAGAGAGAGTGCACGAGAACACAGAGGCAGAGAGAGAGGGAGAAGCAGACTCCTCGCTGAGCAAGGAGTCCAATGCAGGGCTCTATCTCAGGACCCTGGGATCGTGACCTGAGCCAAAGGCAGACACTTAAACGACTGAGCCACCAGGAGTCCCCTAGTTGTTGAATCTAATTCAGGCCTGATTTTACTAGACTTCTGTACTGCATTTGACACTGTTGTCTCCCTTCTTGTCTGAAGTTTCTTCATATTTTTACTGAAGCCCCTCTCTCCTAGTTCTGCTACAGCCTCTCCAGATGCTGCGTCTCCTTTGCACGCACCTCTGCGTGGTCTTTTCTTGTTGGTCCTCTCAGGGCTTCATCCTTTACTGTCTTCCTCCGCAGCTCATTCTACCTGAGCAACTCTTCTTCGTGACTTCTACTCCACCTCAAATTGCATTAATGACTCTCAAATCGTCATCTTCAGCTTAGACCCTTCTCATAAACACAGGAACCAGACACTTCCCATAAGCACCTCTAACTCAACATGCCCTCTCAACCACCCTTTCCTTCCAGATGAATGAAGGGCCCAGAGCTCTGATTTATGCTGAAGTCTTTTTTTCTTTTTTAAGATTTTGTTTATTCATTTGATAGAGAGAGAGCACAAGTAGCAGAGCAAGAGACAGAGGGAGAGGAAGAAGCAGGCTCCCCACTGAGCAGAGAGCCTGATAAGGGGCTCGATCCCAGGACCCTGGAATCATGACCTGAGCCAAAGGCAGTTGCTTAACCAACTGAGCCACTCAGATGCCCCATGCCAAGATCTTCAGAGCTACAGTTGGATCTGAGAGAACCTGGGACAGCCACCACCCCCCACCCTTGGCAAGTCCCAGGTAAGGTGGCCTTGGAAAACAAGGAATGGTCTAAATAATTAACCCATGGAACTACTTAGAGAGTAATAATCAATCCCCAAATGAAGGGTCTTCATTAGAGTTCAGGTGAGGTCCAGGTCAGCATGTGAAGAAATTCTATGTGGCCAAGGTACATGAATGAGGGAGCCTTTTATGGAACATCCTTGGCCTGGATCATAGATGGAGAGAGAACAGTTACAGACACTGATCTGGTATCTCTCTCCACTCACCCAATTTCCTTCCATAGGTAGTTTTCTGATGGAAAACTTGAACCTCTCCAAACATATTCTGAAAGTGAAAAGTGGTTTCCCATGTCTGTTTCCCAGGGCTGAACCTCTGCCAGTAGTCTGGGGACTCTATCTGGCCCTGGCATCATTGGGAATCCAGCAGCCTCGTGTTACAGTTTGGTTTCCCACATCACATTGTCTGTCCCGATCACAAGGCAACAGGGAAGCATCTCAGTGGGCCAGAGAGAACAGGGAACAGTTAAAGAGGACAATTTTTTTAAAAAAAATTTTTTTTATTTATTCACGAGAGACACAGAGAAAGAGGCAGAGACATAGGCAGAGGAAGAAGCAGGCTCCCCATGGGGAGCCCGATGAGGGACTCAACCCCAGGACCCAGGGACCATGACCTGAGCCAAAGGCAGGTGCTAAACCACTGAGCCACCCAGGTGCCCAGTTAAAGAGGAATTAGTTATTCGGCAGCGACCGCAACGCAGACCGGATCCCTCTCCTCTCTCCAGCTCGCTCGTGCGCCTCGCTTCGCTTCCTCTGCAACCATGTCTGACAAACCCGATATGACTGAGCTTGAGAAATTCGATAAGTCGAAATTGAAGAAGACAGAAACGCAAGAGAAAAATCCACTGCCTTCGAAAGAAACGATTGAACAGGAGAAGCAAGCGGGCGAATCGTAATGAGGCGTGCGCCGCCAATATGCACTGTACATTCCACAAGCATTGCCTTCTTATTTTACTTCTTTTAGCTGTTTAACTTTGTAAGATGCAAAGCGGTTGGGTCAGGTTTAAATGACTGTGCTGCTCCTTTTCACATCAAAGAATGGAGAACTACTGACAACGAAGGCGCCTGCCTTTCCCATCTGCCTGTCTGGCTGGCTGGCAGGGAAGGAAAAGAACTTGCATGTTGGTGAAGGAAGAAGCTGGGTGGGAGGACGGTGAGATCTAGAGTAAAAAACCAAGCTGGCCCAAGGTATCTTGCAGGCTGTTAAAATGCAGTTTAATCAGGTGCCATTTTTTTGTTCAAATGATTTTAATTATTGGAATGCACAATTTTTTTAATATGCAAATAAAGTTTTAAAACGTGAAAAAAAAAAGAGGAATTAGTTCCACAGGGAAGGTGATAGAGTCAGAACAGTCTGAGGGGAGGACTCTCACTTGAAGGATGCCAGCTAGTAGATGCTCAACAGGAGGAGGGTCTGATCATATCTCATCCCAGGTGTCCAGGAGCCCTTAGCTGGCCTGTAGTTCACTCAGCATGTCACTGGAGCCTGGAAGTAAAAGAAAGAGCATGAGTGGGATAGAATGAGGAGGTCCAAGTGGAGAAGTGTGCTGTGTCCATGTGGATTTGAATTGTATATGACTTTGGTAACAGAGAGTCAACTGAATAGTCCTGTCACCAGCAGGAGGTATGGCCACATAGATATTCTCATTAGCCAACTGATTCACTGTGGACAGTGTGTGCTGGACAAGTGACTGTATTTAAGGGCCCTTGGGGCCACCAGGTGGTGCAGTTGGTTAAGCATCCAACTCTTGGTTTCAGCTCCGGTCATGATCTCAGGGCTGTGAAGTCGAGTCAGGCTCTGTTCTCAGTACAGTCTGCTTGAGATCCTCTCTCCCTCTGTCTCAACACCCCCCCCCCCATGCATGCACTCACTCTCTGTCTCTAAAATATATAAAATAAATCTTAAAAAAATAAATAAAATAAAGGGCCTTCGTCCATGCCCTCCACAACCAGAGGGTAACTGGAGGCTAAGGATGGAAATGTGGCATCTGAAAAGTTCATGGAAGGAGAAGACACTAAGAAGTGGTGGTAGCTGGGCTGGAGTGGGAGCTGAAGTAGCCTGAGAAGGTGGCACTATCCCCCAGCATCACCAGGATGGCTTCGTCTTCATGTGAGAACTGTGGGTTAGAGGGGAAATCCAAGGAGATTTAGGAATTAAGAGGTGATAAAATCCTTGCACTGCCTGTCACATATGGTGACATAAGGCAGGGTGTTGATTTTAACATGGGGCCACCTGAAGCCCTGCACACCTGCTTGGCTAGAGTTGCTGGCTAGGAAGGAATGATGGGTCAGGCACCACATTTGGACAGAGGCTGCCCCTACCTGGGTATATGGCCATACCACTTGTCTCTCCCCAAAAGTCCTTCCTGGACAACCCTACTTCCCTCCAAGATGCCTATACAGCATCTCTTAGATCAGCAGCAAGTGAGGCAAATAGCAGCCAGTTTTTCTGGGCTGAGGATTCAGGGTTAAAGTTGCCCACTCTTGTTGGTCCTCTAGATTTCTTTTCAGAAGCTTTGGCTGGTAAACTTGAATTGTCTAGAAGAAAGATATACCCCCTGGATCATTGTAAACCCTGGGATGTAAGGTAACTGTTCAAAATTTGAGAGGCACCTTGGGCATGCCAGTAGCCCATTGGAACAAACATGTACTTACAAGCCAAGATCCTCGATCATTTGCCATATGCAGTCCTT